CTCAACTGAGTCGCCGGTGCGCATCGGAATGAAATGCATAGACTTAGTCAACCTATCAACAATCACCCAAACGGCATCATTGCCTCTCTGTGTTCTAGGACGTCTAACGACAAAATCCATGGTAATATGCTCTAACTTCCATTCGGCTATCGGTAAGGGTTGTAACAAACCCGTTGATCTTTGGTGTTCAGCCTTCACTTGTTAACAAGTAAGGCACTTCGATACAAATAAAGCGACATCCCGTTTCATACCTTTCCACCAAAACTAACAACGAAAATCATGATACATTTTAGTGCCTCCCGGGTTTACCGCAAGGCGTGAGTGATGGAACTCCCGAAGTATTTCCTCTCTACAAGATTCTGGTACAAACAAACGGTCTATGTAACATACACTCATATTTGAGTGAACGTTCAAACCTTTCTCTTCCTTTCCATTGGAAATCTTAACACGGATTGATTCCACATCATGGTCTCCTCGTTGTGTCTCTAAGATTCTTACCCTCTGTTTGGATTAAGGGCGTGATGCTCCAATGGCCCTCCTTGGCTTGAATCCAACACCAAAACACTAAAACCAGTCCTTTAGAACCTCAGTAGCTATAGGAAGGTGAAATACTATGTGTTTGTGTGCAATAGTAAGACACAAACACACTTTAACACACACAAGAGGGAAAAAGAGAGAGATAATGTGGTATCAAACCCTAACCCTAGAACTCAAACCCTAGCAATGGCTGTCTAAGCTCTCTCAAGTGTCTCAAGTCTCTAACCCTAAGGCCAAGAGACAAGGCTTCTCTTTATAGAAGCTTATTGTCTTGTAAAGCTTACAAGACAAGCTTCCAAGAGAGAAATCCCTCCATACACGTGTATGGAGGGGAGCCAAAAGCAAGACAGCTGTCTTAAAATATCTGCAAAAGCAGATGCACAATAGTCAGCCGGCCAAAAAGGCCATCTTTGCCAAAAAAAAGTGCCGACCGGCACTAAATAGTGCTGATCGGCAACAAATAGTGCCGGCCGGCAATATACATTGCCGGTGGCAGCAAAAACCAGCTGGTGGCCTCTAGCCACTGCCGGTGGTGTGTGGGGATGCCTCACAAGGCATTCCCTGCCCCTCCAAGGCAAAACACAAGTGTTTGGTGTGAAACCAGACACTAAACAGTTGGGTTCGGAGATCCTGAGGCAAGGCACGCGAGCCGAGACCTCCGGGAACTCCAAACGAACACAATCACGGATAATCACCGAGTGTTCAAACGGTGACGTCCAAGTCTTGAGGACGGTCAAAAATGGGGTGTCTACAGCATGTAATCACACAATTAAACACATAATCATGCAATTAGACTTATTGAAATAATATAATAGTTCGGAGGTCGGGGTCATCACAGTCTCTTCTCCTTAGAAAGTTTGGTCCTCTAAACTTAAGTTACCTTCCAATGGAAATAAATGTGGATATCGTTGTCGTATCTCTTCCTCTTTCTCCTAAGTGGCCTCCTTCCCATAATGTTCTTTCCATTCGACTTTCACCATAGGGATAGTTTTGTTTCTCAATTACTTCACTTGTTGATCAATGATTTGCACGGGCCATTCTTCATACATCATATTCTCGTCTAAAGCAATCTGATGATGATCAATCACATGGAATGGGTCTCTAAGATACCCACGAAGCATGGATACATGGAAAACATTATGCACTTGTTCCATTCCCGGTGGCAAGGCAATACGGTAAGCAACAGAACCCAACCTCTCGAGAATCTAAAATAGCCTAATGTAGCGAGGAGTCAATTTGAATGGACAAATCAGAGAGAAATAGCTTTTCAAGAGTTGAAGACAAGACTGACCATAGTTCCAATTCTTATTATTCTCTCAAGTACCGAAGGTTTTGTAATCTTTAGTGATTCATCTTATAAGGGTTTGGGTTGTGTCTTAATGCAGAAAGGCAAGGTGATTTCATAAGCCTCTCGATAGTTGAGGCCACACGAGAAGAACTACTTGCACACGACCTATATCTTACTATAGTTGTGTTTGCGTTAAAGATATGGCGTCACTATTTGTATAGAGCCAAATATGAAGTGTACACAGATCATAAGAGCTTGAAATATTTTTTCACACAAAAAGAGTTTAACATGCGTCAAAGGCAATGGCTTGAATTAATCAAAGATTATGATTTGCAGATCCACTATCATTTGGGAAAAGCCAATACTGTGGCAGATGCACTTAGTAAAAAGAATGTGGGGAATCTTGCTTGTTTACTCACAGATCAGAAAGTGTTGCTACTAGAGTTTGAAAAACACAAAATTAAGGTGGTGTGTTTTGAACAAGATAGCTTGATAGCCGCAATGTCTGTACAGCCTACCATTATCGAAGATATCCAACAAAAGCAAATGACTGATGAGCTTTTGAAAAAGATTTGTGATGAACTTGACATTAAGCCTAAACTAAGATTCACAATTGCAAATTCTGTGTTGAAATTTCAAAAGAGATTGTGTATCCCAAATGATGCGGATTTGAAAAGGAAAATTTTAGAGGAAGCCCACAAGTCAGAGTTTGCTATGCACCCAGGAAACACCAAAATGTACCAAGATTTGAAGTTAGTGTATTGGCGGCCCAACATGAAAAGAGAAATTGCTGATTTTAACTCTAAATGCTTGCAATACCAGCAGGTGAAAGTGGAGCATCAGAAACCAATGTGTTTGCTTCAATCTCTCCCTATCCCAGAATGAAAATGGGAGTATATCACCATGGACTTCGTCGTTGGCCTACCTCGAACACTTAGAGGTATGGACTCTATTTGGGTTGTAGTTGATAGACTAACTAAGTCTGCCCATTTTTTTCCTGTAAAGACTTCATTTACTGCATATAGACTTGCTACCATCTACATTGATGAAATTATTCGATTGCATGGGGTTCTAGTGTCTATTGTATCATATAGGGATCCTAAATTCGTTTCTAGATTTTGGCATAGTCTGCAGGATGCAATGGGAACAGAATTGAGATTTAGTACAGCATTTCATCCACAGACCGATAGACAAACCGAGAGAACTATTCAGACCTTAGAAGACATGCTTCGTATGTGCGTTTTGGATTTTCAGGGCAGCTAGGAAACATATTTGTTATTGGCTGAGTTTGCTTATAACAATAGTTTTCACACAAGCATCAGTATGGCACCATATGAGGCATTATATGGCAGAAAATGTAGGTCGCCAATTTGTTGGACAAAGGTTGGTGATAGGGCTATTTTTGGTACCGAACTTGTGCAAGAAACGACCAAAAAGATTAAAATCATTCAACAAAGACTCAAAACTGCATAGAGCTAACAGAAAAGTTATGCGGATCAATGAAGAAGAGACTTAGAGTATAAAGCGGGGATCATGTATTTATCAAAGTAACACCGATGAAGGGGCATACGAGATTTGGCAAAAAAGAAAAATTGACTCGTCGCTGCATTGGGCCATTTCAGATTCTCAAGAGGTTGGGTCCTATTGCTTACCATATTGCCTTGCCACCGAGAATGGAACAAGTGCATAATGTTTTCCATGTATCCATGCTTCGTGGGTATCTTAGAGACCCATTCCATGTGATTGATCACCACCGGATTGCTTTAGACAAGAATATGATGTATGAAGAATGGCCATGCAAATCATTGATCGACAGGTAAAGCAATTGAGAAACAAAACTATCCTTATGGTGAAAGTCGAATGGAAAAAACATTATGGGAAGGAGGCCACTTGGGAGAAAGGGGAAGAGATACGGCAATGGTACCTGCATTTATTTCCATTGGAAGGTAACTTAAGTTTGGAGGACCAAACTTTCTAAGGGGGAGAGACTGTGACGACCCCGGCCTCCGAACTATTATATTATATTATTTGAATAAGTCTAATTGCATAATTATGTGTTTAATTGTGTGATTACATGTTTAATTTTGTAGTTATCTGTTATTACATAGAATGTCTTCGCTCGAGTGGGGGTTTAAAAATAAGGGTAGTCGCTCGAGTGCAACCTCGGTCGCTCGAGCAGTCTGAAAACTTTTGTAAAATTTCTAGGAGCTCGATTTTCACGCTCAAGCGACATTTTCTTTGCTGGAGCGGACAAGCCGAATTCTAGAATTTCCATAATTGTGTTTGAAGTTCAAATTTGGCATTCAAAGGTTCCAAATTCGTGTTTTTGGTACAAAATCATAGGAAAACATTATAAAACATGGAAACATAGTTAATTTGGAACCAATTGCTCAAATCCATGGCAAATTCTCAACCAAACACTCCAACTTCAAGTTATAAAGCAAGTTTGACTCAAATTGGATTGATATTTCTTCAAAACATAATCAAGTGATATGAGAAGTATGAAAACATGAAGGACTCTTCAATTGAGGTGTAAATCTGCCATGCATGTAGGAATTTCATGGATTCTAACTCAACTTATGCATGCATGTACATGATTAACTCTTATCTTCCAAATTCAAGGTGATTCAAGCTTCTACCAAACAATTTCATGCAAATGAACTCAAAACCTAGATGAATTCAATTTCTACATGTTTCATTTTCAAGGATTAAGGTTGGAGATCATACCTAGGGCTTGAATTCAAGTATATACTAGCTTAAATCCCCAAGTCCTCCACTATTTCCTTCAAATTCTCCTTTCTCTCTCTCTAAATGTTGAGCTTAGCTTCCTTCTCTCTCAAAATCTCAACCCAAGTGTTTGTATAAGTGAGTTCAAAACATGTGCTAGGCTTATATAGAGTGTAATTAACTTGGCCTAATCAAAGTTAATTAAGGTTAATTAATTAGGCTCATTTCTAACTAAGTTTATTCTAATTATTTTTATCCGAATAAATTTTCAATTAAAGTTGCCATAAAATTCTAAATATTCTAATTAGTCTATTAAGCTAATCAATTTCAATTTCTCAAGTTGTCTTGGCTCTCAATTTCTGTCTCTAAGTTGCCAATTCGAATAGATATTCCATGTAATAACAGATAACTACAAAATTAAACATGTAATCACATTATTAAACACATAATCATGCAATTAGACTTATTAAAATAATATAATATAATATTTCGAAGGTCGGGGTCGTCACAGTCTCTCCCCCTTAGAAAGTTTGGTCTTCCAAACTTAAGTTACCTTCCGATAGAAATAAATGCAGGTACCGTTGTTGTATCTCTTCCTCTTTCTCCCAAGTGGCCTCATTCCCATAATGTTCTTTCGATTTGATTTTCACCATAGGGATAGTTTTGTTTCTCAATTGCTTCATCTGTCAATCAATAATTTGCACGGGCCATTCTCCACACATCATATTCTCATCTAAAGCAATCCGGTGGTGATCAATCACATGGAATGGGTCTCTAAGATACCCACGAAGCATGGATACATGGAAAACATTATGCACTTGTTCCATTCCCGGTGGCAAGGCAATACGGTAAGCAACAAGACCCAACCTCTTGAGAATCTGAAACGGCCTAATGTAGCGATGAGTCAATTTTTCTTTTTTGCCAAATCTTGTATGCCCCTTCATCGGTGTTACTTTGATAAATACATGATCCCCCGCTTCGTACTCTAAGTCTCTTCTTCGTTAATCCGCATAACTTTTCTATCGGCTCTGTACAGTTTTAAGTCTTTGTTGAATGATTTTAATCTTTTCGGTTGTTTCTTGCACAAGTTCGGTACCAAAAATAGCCCTATCACCAACCTCTGTCCAACAAATTGGGGAACTACATTTTCTGCCATATAGTGCCTCATATGGTACCATACCAATGCTTGCGTGAAAACTATTGTTATAAGCAAACTCAGCCAATAGCAAATATGTTTCCCAGCTGCCTTGAAAATCCAAAACACACATACGAAGCATGTCTTCTAAGGTCTAAATAGTCCTCCCGGTTTGTCCATCGGTCTGTGGATGAAATGCTGTACCAAATATCAATTATGTTCCCATTGCATCCTGTAGACTATGCCAAAATCTAGAAACGAATTTAGGATCCCTATCTGATACAATAGACACTGGAACCCCATGCAGTCGAATAATTTCATCAATGTAGATGGTAGCAAGTCTATATGCAATAAATGAAGTCTTTATAGCAAGAAAATAGGCAGACTTAGTTAGTCTATCAACTACAACCCAAATAGAGTCCATACCTCTAGGTGTTCGAGGTAGGCCAACGACGAAGTTCATGGTGATATGCTCTCATTTCCATTAAGGGGGACAATACTACAGCTAGGCCCTTGCCTGGGGGAGACAATACCATGGCTAGGCCCTTGCTTGGGGGTAATAATACCACAGCTAGGCCCTTGCCTGGGAAAAACAATATCATAGCTTTTGGATTGATTGACACACAGAGATCTCTAGTGTTAGACCATTAAGGTCCATTGTCATTGGAATATTATTACTTCATGGATATCCCACACAAATTGACATTGAATAATATTGATGATGAAGTTAATGGATTATTGAGAACTAAAATGAAATTTGGTTTGGCAATGTTATTGAACTTCATTCATATAACCTCTTTATTTTGTTATTACTCACTGGGCCCTAGCTCACTATTTACTTATATATGTATATAGGTGGGCAAGCTGAACATCAAGGTTAAAGAATGCCTCGAGTCTTCCCGGGTCAGCTTTTTTGAAGAGCTTCTGAACGAAGTAAACTAGGCTCGAGTGGAGCCAAGTTAGTTAGACCCCCTTTTGTTTTGCCCAATCATTTTTGTATGTGTATACTTTGGGGTTTTGTATAACTATAAGATTTTGCTGTTTGAACTTATGTGATGAATGTAATACCAAATAACTACAAAATTAAGCATGTAATCACACAATTAAACACATAATCATGCAATTAGACTTATTGAAATAATATAAATGACACGAATCTTAGGCATGAATAATCATGCATAGTACGAATCTGCATAATACAAATATGACACGAATAATCGGTTTAATGAATAATTAATTACACATTTTAATATTATACATTTTTTAATATCATATTAATCTAACTTATTAAAAAGTATGTGAAATAAGATTTTAAGATTACTATAGGTTTCTTTAAAAGTTTTAATTGAAATAATACATTTTTTGTGTACCATTTGAGTTAATCTAGTTCAAATATATACATAACAATATGATATAGTTTTTTTTAAATTAAGAAAGTAAAGTGAGTTGAAATCAAATAATGATGAAAATAATAGGGTATAGTTTATACACTTGATGTTTTTAATTAATGGTAAAAATTTTGTGTATACATCATTGTGAGTCAAATTATGAAGAATGCTATACTATTATCCTTCATAATTCATTTTGTAGACTTTATTTTGGGCTCCCAATGATAATTTGAACCATTCGTCTTATAAACTTTGAGGTAAAAATTATTTATGTAAAAAATCAATTTTATTGAATATCGATAAATAAATAAATAAATCATATTTTATTTTATAGACAAAATAATTTAAATTTAAACTCACAATTACTATTCATTTTAAAAAATAAAATATAAACAATTCATATATCTAATGATATTTAATAAAATTAATTTTTTCACAAACAAGAAAATTAAAAATAAATCATTCAAATTATTCTTTTTAATCCATAGCTAGACTGTCTAGCCTAGACCCATAAAATATGACATGGGCCTGATTTGGGAACTTGACTATTTATTTAAGTTAATTTTTAATTTTTTGATTATTTTAGATCGACTAAAAAAATTGTGTTTTGGATAACAGTTGACTCCATTTCGTGTGTAGTTGATTTGATGGTTATAAAGAAAAAAATGAAATAATTATTATTTGAATATAACTTTTTGTCTTATTAATTTATTTTATTTTTTTTTTAGTCTTTATTAGGCTATCTCCAATCGTTTATTAGATCTTTCATCAAATTTAAATTTGATGAAAAACGCGTTAAATGTCAGCTCCAACTCTTTCATCAATTTGACATCAAATTAAAGGAGAACCAAATCTTTCATCAAATGAAGGAAGCTTTTATCTTTCATCAAATTTTGCAGGTAGTCGTTGGTCAAACGTCTGCTCAAATGTCCTCCCGGTCATTCTCTCGGACAACTGAGTTTTATTTATTTAAATGTTAATTTTTCCTCATGGCCATACATCTTCTTGCACATCTTCCAGAACAATCAGCTTGTAACAAGATTTGATAAAATTTTTAAAGGGTGGTTTGCAATAGTCTAAATAAGTACACTTTTTGATTTTTTATAAAAAAAAAAAAGTGTAGAAAAATAGAAAAAGTGATTAGAAAAGTAGATGTTGATAGATATGACCCAAATAAGTGTATGTAGGTAAAAAAAAATATTTTTTTTTTTGGTAAGTAAAAGTATATTTTTTTAGTTTACCCCAAACACTTACTAATTTACTATTAAGTGCATCACATCAAATTAAACCTTTTATTAAATTCTTACTTAAATTTAATAAAAATTTTGATACAGCATTATAAATATTCTAGCTATTTTAGTCAAAAATATTTATAAAGTTAAAAATTGATTTTTTTTAGTTGAAATTTATAATAAAAAAAAATAAATTAAAATAATTAATAAGATAAAATATCACATTAAACTTATAATTATTTTTTTTTATCATAAATATTATATCTAACCAAAAAATATATATATATTTAATTAATTTTAAGCGAATATAGCATTGCTGACTCTCATATTACGGTTACAGTTTGATTCTTATCACCGAGCGCGTATCAGATAAGACGGCGGATATATCACTTTGGAAACGTCACTCTCCTTATAAATTAGCGTCGTCTTGGAGCTACTGTCACATAGTAGTGTTGTGATCTTTAGAGAGAGAAAGTAGAAAGGAGAGGGAGAGGGAGAGGGAGAGGGGCACAGAGTGAGTGCTTCGATCAAATTTCGTTTTTTTTTTTTTTCTCTCAGCCTTTGTTCTTCAATCTTACACTCTCTCTTCCTATATTTTCCCTCACTTTCTCTTCGATTCCTCCGAGCAAGACAAAGGTAAATAAAATACCGGAAAGGAAAGTAGAAAAGGAGTATTGTGAAAATTTCTCTCTTTCTATTGTCATCGATCGATCAAAACCCTACACTACAATCTCTCTCTCTCTCTCTAAATTTGTCTAATCTGATGATCTTGATGAATTATAAGGTTTAGATTTCTTCTATGTATCTGGGAAAGTCGATTTTCTCAAATGAATATAATTTTAGTAGATTTTGAATAATCTATGCTTGGTTGAAAAAATCCTAATTTTCAGTAATTTGATTAAGATGTTGCTGTCACTTAACTGAATTTGATCCATACCAATTTGATTTCTTTTTCAATTTGAGGTTTTTACTGTGTAATTCTGCATATATATGTATATATATGTTTTTAATCAACTTACTGTGAATTCTATGAACTCCATTGTCTTTCTGCGATTTTCAATATCTTCTTTGCTCTGCTTTATTTGTCAGATGGTGATTATCATCAACTCTGTTCTATTCCCACTGTTTTTCTCACATTTCCCCCCTCACTTTCTCGTGAATTCTAGCAAACAGAAAGTGATGAGAAAATTTACTCTGGTATATCGATCTGTCAAACCTAAGTTTTCAGTTCCTTTTTTTTGAAACTTTTTTAAAACAATCTCTCTAAATAACTCAATCAGTCTAATGAACTTGTTGAATTATGTAGCATAGATTTTTTAGTAAATCTTGTAGATATAATTGTCCGATCAAAACCCTAAGTTCATTGCTATCATATTCAAATGCTATTTCTCTTACTTTACTCATTTTGATTGATTATAAGATAGTGTACTTGTTTTGTTTTGATTATCTTTATCGACTGGTTGATACTTGATCAAAACTGAAATCCAGAAGTTTGGTTTGGTCTCTGAGTGTGTTGGCGTGTGAGGGTAAAAATATAAATGTTGTTCCTTAACTGATTTTTAATAATTTGAAGGTTTGGGAGGCAAGGAGGGCCATTTTGGTAATGTCTCTCAGTAAAGAGCTTATCTTATTGATCTTACAGTTCTGTCATGAGGAAGACCTCAAAAAGACAGCTCACATGTGAGTTTTAGTTTTCTTCTCTCATTCAATTTGCAATTGATTGTGTCAATTGATTTGTAATTGTTGTTGTTATCATTTCTGAGATAGGCTTGAGCATGAAACCGGTGTTTTCTTTGATATGGAATATTTTGAGGACATGGTGCTGTTTGGCAACTGGGATGAAGCTGAGAAATATCTTTCGGGGTTCACTAGACTTGAAGATGATAAGTATTCTAGGAAGATCTATTTCGAAATTAGGAAGCAAAAGTTCCTTGAGGCACTTGATGAGTAAGCCATCAATGACCAAAGACTCTACAAATCCATACTAATAACAAAAGTTTTATGTTTCAACATTGTAACAAAAAATTTAATGATAGGCATGATCGTGCAAGGGCCCTAGATATCCTTGTGAAAGAATTGAAAGTTTTTGCCATATCAAATGAAGAGCTGTACAAGGAAATGACCCAGCTCCTTACTTTTGATGATTTCAGGTAATATTGCAATTTTAAATATGTTATAAAGGTATATGCTTTCGTATGGGCTAAATCATTTTCATTTGGAATTGACAGAAAACATGGCTCGCTCTCCATGTATGGAGATGTATTATCTGCTAGAAAATGCATGATGAATGATATCAAAAATATTATTGACGCGGATCCCCTTTTCCAAGACAAACTGAAATTTCCTCACATCAACAAATCAAGATTAAGGCGTCTCATTAACCAAAGGTTTGTGGCTTTTATTTGTTTATTTTAGTTCAGCCTTGATGCTATCTTTTCTTTAAGTTGAATTTGTTTACTATGTAACAAGCAACACGACATCATTTCTACATAATTTCTAGCCGTGCCTATTGCACATTGACAGTGAACTGATTTTACTTTACAATCTGACAGCTTAAATTGGCAGCACATTCTTTGCTCATATCCTCAGCCTGATCCTGATATACAGACCCTCTTCATGGATCATCAATGCCCACTACCTGATCATTTTTCTAGTCAATCAGTTGAGAATGATCTGCTTGTTAGATCCTAACCGAAATTTGTAGTTGCTCTGTTTTTTCACATGGTCACCTTCTCATAAAGGCTGGCTGATTTATTTATTTATTTTGGATCTGTTTTATTCTATCTGTGTACCGTTTTTCTTAGAATGTTTAATTTTTGTATGAAGCCTTCGCAAGACACGGCGGCATCACCATCACGTTCCTCTTGCAAGGGGACTTCTTCTGTGACTCAATCTGCAATTCCTGATGGGCCTCTCAGTCTTGGTGCTCCAACCAACTCAGGGAGTGGTTTCAATTCTGGTAGAGTGATTTGTGTAGGCTCTGTGAACTCATTTAGTTTACTCAGATTGTTCATCGTGACTAAACTTTTAGTTGTTGCAAAACTAACAGGTGCTGAGGTTTCTGTTTGTTCATCTGAAACAAAGTCCTTTAGGACTTCCGATGAGGTAATTGGATCGACTAGTTTTGCAATAGAGTACAGTACAATTTCTGATCTACAATTCATTTAGTCTAACTTTGTTCATTTTATTGATAAGATCATTTCTTGTTCACCTGAGCACAGTGGGTATCAGCCAGAATTGTCCCTGGTCAACCTCACAGTCCAGTATTTAACAACCATGATGATTTACCCAAGACGGTTCAACGAGTTTTGACTGAAGCCTCTTCTCCAACAAGCATCGATTTTCACCCTGTTCAACAGAATCTTCTTTTAGGTTGCCTTACATGAACTTATGTTTTTGTGTAGAATAGATGATATTCTGCAATGAATCTCTGTGTTCTGAGTTGGTTTTAACTTGTGAACACTGTTAATGAGTTCTTCAGTTGGAACCAATGACGGGGACATAGGATTATGGGAAGTTTCTTCTGGGGAGAAATTACTTTCAAGAAAATTTCATGTTTGGAAGATTAGAAATATTTCAAAGACATTCGTGGTACATATCCCCTCCTTAACTATTTCACAAAAACCAGCAAGACCTCAGTTTAATGTCATGTGAATAATATGATTTCTACATCAACTCAATTATAATCAGGTTGCTCTGCTCAAAGATCCACATGTCTCTGTTAATCATATATCGTGGAGTCTTGATGGTTTATTATTCGGTAAGTTTGAAGATGAGAAAAACCCAAGTGATTTGGAAACTTACATTTAGTTTTTTGAACCTCAGCTATCTTCTTTTTCCCTAAGCAGGGGTCGCATATTCAAAACACATAGTGCACTTGTATTCTTATCATGGTGACAGTAAAATTCAGAAACGCTTGGAGGTAGATTTCTGATGGTTTTCTCTTTTGCTAATTTTTCTTTTTAGAGTTCTATATTTGCTTCTAATACTGACTTTTATTATCTAGATTGATGCCCATGTTGGTGGTGTAAATGATCTTGCATTCTCTGAACCAAATAAGGTGCTTTTTCTCATAACCTGTGGTAATGACAAGTTAATTCAGGTTAGTTACACAGTGAATTAGTTATATTTTCATTTCATAGTGAAGTTTACAGTTCCAGACCAACAAGAAAAGAAAACGAACGAGTTGACACTTCATTTACTATTGCTGATATAAGGTCTGGGATGTGAACACTGGTGCCAAACAATTTACTTTTGAAGGTCACGGGGACCCTGTCTATTCTGTTTGTGCTCATGTAAAAGAGAGAATTCATGTAAGAACCTTACTTGATACTGTTTATGGCCTTTTCTTTGTGATACATTTAATCTGGTATATTGTTGGTATTTGTCTTAAATTCGTGATATACATATATGCTTTCATGCCTCAGTTTATATTCTCAACATCAGCGAATGGTGAGATGAAAGCATGGCTATATGACAATATGGGACCAAGGGTAGCCTTTGATGCTCCTGGTCACTGTTGCACAAGAATGGCATATAGTACCGATGGTAAAAGGTGATTTATTGGACCTGCTATACTTCTTTGATGGTCTTGTATGCCGCGCTGAAATGTTAATATTACTATCAAACAACTTGTTAGGCTTTTTTCTTGTGGAACCACAAAGGATGGAGAATCATTCATTCTTGAATGGAATGAAACTGAAGGTTATGTGAAGAGGAGCTACCAGGGACTTGGTAAATGTTCCTCTGGTGTTGTGCACTTTGATACAAGCAAGAACCGGTTTTTGGTTGCGGGTGATGACCATTTAATTAAAGTTTGGGATATAGACCACGCTGAACTTGTAACAGTTATTGATGCAGATGGAGACCTACCTGTATGTTTTTCATTAGTTGTTCATAGCTTTTGATTGTTAAGTTTCATTTTCACTTTCTCAAGTGATATTTTCACTAAAAATGTAACAAATGTTTGGAGAATAAAAACAGTGCCTAATTTACTTAACTTCTTTTCTGTTTCTAAGGCAAGACCACATGTTCGCTTCAACAAGAGTGGCAGATTAATGGCTGTTACTGCAAATCATAATAATATCAAAATATTGGCGAACCCATTTGGCCATGAGTTGTTGCAAAGTTCTGAAAATGGTTCCATTGATGCCTCTACAGTTCTCTCGGAAACTTTAGAAAGGGTTAGCACATTAAGTCTTCTCCTGTCCCTTTAGACTGATCATAGAAAATGTTAGTGCCTAATGGTTGTTGTTCATGCAGCTTGTGATCAATCCAATTTCAACTGCTTCTAGTTCTAGCGCTACAGAAGGTGGTGTCTCTGGCATGGGTAGTCCCGGGAAGGTTTGTGTAACAGAACATTATATGGCATACTTCATCACCCCATAAGACATCACATTATTAATTGAACTCATTTTCACGTACATTTGTATGTCATTTTGAATTCAAACTGGACCACAATGTTATTAAGTAGCACAAAGATTACCTCTGAAATTACATTCTAATTTTTATATTTTTTGTATTCGTAGAATGGAGATGCGGGTAACTCAAAGGACATAAAACCTGAATTACCTGCAGAATCCAATGAAATATTAGAGGTTTCGAAATCAGAAATTAATGAACCTTCTCAGTGTCAATCGTTGAGGCTCCCTTCTGAAGTGAAAATTGAGAAGGTATGACTTTTTTCCCCTCTTTTTCTTTTTTCTTTTTTCTCTTTTTTTTTTTTTCGTCGTTTTAATGTACAAATTACTCATTATTATTTATATCCATTGTTGGCATGTTTTGGAGCATTTTCCCCTTGCTTCTACCATGTGCTCCTTGAAACAAGGAAAACAAAGGGTATGCATATTGCATAATAGTCACTAGATCTATAGTCTTGGAGATTGATTGGGACGAGTGGATCTTAAATAATTTGGAGATCAACTTCTGTGTTGGTCTAGTTTCAGAGAGGACTATGCCTAAATTAATAACAACTGTAAACCATTTAAGTTCATGTTCAAGTTATGTCAAGCACATAGGCATCTACTACCAATTTCATATTTGTTAATAGACCAGCTGTCATAACTTAAGTTTACCAATTGGTGGTGTATAGAAATAAATTGTGTCTCATTGCCTTCTCTTGTGATGAAGCAGATATCAAGGTTGATCTACACCAATGCAGGTAACTCCATAGTCGCATTAGCTTCAAATGGCATTCATCTGCTCTGGAAATGGTCAAGGAACGAAACTAATTTGAGTGGGAAGGTAAAAAAAACTAGACATCATAGTTTTTGTCTTCAATTTGAAGTTTGATTTCTTGAAGTCTGTTCGCCTTCTGATAGTCTCATTATGCAAGATGTTTATTGGTGCAGGCAACCACAAAGTTTCCCCCTCAATTATGGCAACCAAAGAGTGGATTGCTGATGACCAACGACCTTACTGGTGTTACCTTTGAAGAATTTTTACCTTGTTTTGCTTTGTCCAAGAATGACTCTTATGTTGTGTCAGCATCAAAGGGGATGATTTCTTTGTTCAACATGATGACATTTAAGGTAACCTAGAAAATATCTCAAAATCCACCAAACATTTAACTTTGTACAAGCATTTCACTAAGCATGTACATTAATATGATCAATTACAATTAAGTAATTTCTGATCAAGAAACCAAGAAAACTAAGGGAGAAAAAATGAAAAAAAAAAAAAATCATTTGCCACTACTGGCTTCTTGAATTTCTACAAAATCATCCTAACTAACAAATCAGATTTATTTCATAAACAACTCCCTAGTCCTGAATCTGTCACCTTGGTTGCGTGTTGTTTTAAACGAAGCCATAGTCCTGAATCTGTCACCTTGGTTGCGTGTTGTTCTAAACGAAGCCAAGATCAAACTCATCACACAGAACTCTGTTGAAAAATTGTTGCAGAAAATCACAGCTTTCATGCCTCCACCACCAGCGGCAACATGTATTGCCTTTTACCCCCAAGATAACAATATAATTGCAATTGGCTTGGATGATTCTACAGTCCTGATTTATCATGTCCGTTCTGATGAGGTACCATATTTGTTTCCCTTGTGTTACATAATTTAAACTGATTCATTATACAAACTCACTCAATGTGGTCTCTTTCTGTAAGAATTTATGTATTATTGATTGATGTCTTGATTGATAGATTACAAGATGCATTAATTACAATTCCTATACAATCTATATATAGAAGAAAATGTGGTAGTAGGTGTAGTGGAGGTGATAGTGGGTTAGGTGAAGTGGAGTGTGTAGTGGAGTAGAGGTAGGTGAAGTGGAGTGTGTAGTGGAGTAGGTGAAGGTAAAGATGGGAAATTCTAACACTTTCTTTGTCCATGCAGGTTATAGACAAGCTTAATGGTCATTCTAAAAGAGTAACTGGCCTTGCCTTCTCTAGTACACTGAATGTGTTAGTGTCCTCCGGAGCAGATGCTCAGGTTAGTATTCAACTTTCCTTTTCTACATTGGTATGTTTTATTTGGTTCTGCTTGTTCTCAGCCAAACCCCGAGTCCAATTGACCCATAAAGTTTGAAAGCCCATTCAGACCCACAATCCACAGTCAAGTGGAGGAGAACACTCTTATAACCAACTGAACTCGGATTTTTGAGAGCCACTCCTTGTTGGAAAGAGTTTACCTTCACATCCAATTGGTTTGGTTGCCAGATCCTTAGTAATTTCAGTTATGACCATTTCATAATACGGATTTCTGATTTTAATGATTTATTCTTCCGTTCTCATTATCAGATTGTTGTGTGGAATACCAATGGGTGGGAAAAGAAGAAAAGCAAAATGTTGCGGATTCCTGTTAGGGAGTTCCCATCAGCACCATCGAACACCTATGTCCAATTCCACCAGGATCAGAAACACTTCCTTTCTATACATGAGACTCGCTTAGCCATATATGAAACAACAGAATTAGAATGTGTGAAGCAGGTTTCTTCTCTCTTTCTCTGTCTCTCTCTGATTATAAGCAGTGTTTTTCAGTTTGCATAATGATATTCAAGTGTTTTTCTCTCACACTTTTAGTGCGTCATTGGAGAATTTTATGCACGGATCTCCCATGCAACATTCTCATGTGATAGCCAGTTAGTGTATGCTAGCTTTGTGGATGGAACTGTGTTAATATACGATGCCTCAGATTTCCATATACGATGTGAGGTCAATCCCGCTGCTTACCTTCCATCTGACATCAGGTACTTTTAAGAATTTTAGCTGATGCATGTTAAGTGTATTTAATCAATGGCAACTCTCTCTCTCTCTCTCTCTCTCTCTCTCTCTCTCTCTCTCTCTGGGTGAGTACCAATTATATGCTTTTTTTTACTGGACAAAGAGGGGCCTTGGGCCCTGAAATTGAGGTTTGGATAAAACAGGAGATAGTCTATGAGCCTGATTATTCACCTTAAAAAAAAAGTCTATGAGCCTGATGGCCATAGATGTGTGCATTGAGCTGTTGATATAAATTGCTCTATGTGTACAGATACAGATTATGCAAGAACTTAGTTGATGAGGCTAATGTAATCTCCATCAACTCTGAGTGATTGTTAAATGTTGTGAATGTTGCTTTCAAATTCAATAATTCCTTATTATTATTCAACAGAATTGTATCCGCAAGAGAGAGAGAGAGAGAGAGAATGTAATTACTGTTTCAATGTTGATGTTTCTGCCAACATTAGCTATAACAACATCTGCATATCAATCTCAGGCCAACTTTATAAGCATAGTTTTACATTTATCTAATATGTGGCTGCTGCTGGCTGCAGTTCGAAGGTATATCCGGTCACAATTGCTGCCCACCCACAAGAGCCAAACCAGTTTGCATTGGGTTTAACTAATGGCAGTGTCGTGGTCATTGAGCCTCTGGAATCTACAGGAAAATGGGTTGCAGTGTCGTCCGTCAGTCAATTAACATATCGTTTTTAGAGGATGCTTAATTGAGGCTTGAGTCAGGTGTAAATGAGTTATGCGAGTGGAAATAGAGTGGCATATGTAGACACCTAAAAATAAGGGTTGTAAGTCCTCGTGGAATGCATACTGTGTGGCTCTTTTTAATTTTAAGTACTATAGTTGAATAATGGTTTTTTTTTTTTTTTTTGTTAGAATCCTTTCCCTTGCTTATTTGTCATGGATGGGACTATATAGTATCATGACTGGATGCTTTCCTCGAGTCCGATTTTATTCACACACACAATATACATATTTTAAATAGTTGAGCCTACAGTTTTGGATGGGTCATTACACTCTTTGGATATGGAGTCCACATATTTGAATTAATCATATAATATTATCTGCAATGAATCTCTCACTAATGATTTTGTTGTGTTAATCCAATGGCTTATATTTAAAGTTGAAGTAAAATTACATTATTTTAAGATAAATTATAAAAAATTATCGTAAAAAAATATGACACAAACTAAATTCCTCATAGGCATGCTATGTAAACTAGTTAGAGTCAATTAATAAGTTGCATAAGCTTGACTGGTTTGCCTTTACGAGCTTCAAATTAGGCACAAATTGAGTTTCATCATGTGCATTGACTTGTTAGGTTTTATGAGCTTCAAATTGAGCACAAATTGAGTTTCATCATATGCAAGTCCAAGGCCTATGCTATATTCTTCCCTTTTATATCATAAATTTTAGTTTAATTTTATAATTTCCAAAATTGCGTGTACCGATTGAGAACTCTTACTCCACTTTTTTCCATGGTTTTGTAAAGATAACACCAATAGCTATTTTAACCAGTAAAATTAAACACAATCATATTCTCTGTTTTAATTAGAGAGGAAAAAGGAAGAACGAAAAAGGAGATAGTGAAAATATAAATAATTTATATTTTAAAAGTGAAAAGTCACTAGTTAAATATAGTTAGGACGATTGAAACTCCCCAAACTAGTCATTTAACTAACTAACCTGTGGAGAGATGAAATTAAGGAGTATTAAAATGACTACAAATTTCAATTTAACTAGCCAGTTGAAAACTTTGTATTTGCAGGAGTGCACGTGCATTGCTTGTGATTTTGTTTTTCTTTTTCTAATGTTTAAAAAGCACACAAGCAGCTAAAAAAGTTGACTTTTTAGCTAAAAAAGTCAAAAAATTAATTTTTTATCAACTTCCCAGTATGCGAGAGGGAAGCTTTTATTAACTAAATTGAAATGGAATAAGTAATTATACATAAAAAAAATTCTAAAATATGACAATGTAAATAATTATTCCACGTCTTATTTTCAAATAATGAAACTAATTGTAAGTGAGCTAAAACTACAATGCAAATTAAATATGGTCCCAACAAGAATTGAATAAAGAAAGTGCAAATAACAATTGATTGAATGCAGTGATTTTGCAGGAGAAGAAAATAAAGGAAATCCAAAGTAAGAGATGGCTTTAAGAGGTCACAAATTTATTGCAAATAACCCAAGGTGAGGTGGGTTATTCAGGGAGAGAGTGATAAAGTTAGAAATTACAGCCAATTCAACAAAGTCGAAAATAATAAACCCTAGTAGAATGCAAGTAGACTTCATATACCAATAGGTGCATACATATTCAAGCATCTACCTTCGCCCCTGCAGATGCATAACTTACACTGCTGTCCCTCATGGTTTTGCACTGACTTGACTGTTCATATCGAAGGAATTTAATTTTTATCTTCGTTGAGCAGGTCTTCAACATCTGGTCAGAATTTGAAAAAAAAAAAAAAAAATGAAGGAAAAAAATTAGCCAACCAATTGATTCGGTTGGGATTTAAAACAATCAGAATTACGGTAACAAAAATAAAAACAAATGAGTGAAAAAGAAAAGCAAAAACAGACACATGAAGATGAAAACTTTTTGCTATTGGGTGATCTAGCAAAACTCATTGAGAATAACCATTTCCTAAGCTTTCCGCTGAAACAATAATAGTAACTTAACCCAAAAGAGGTAAGAAAGATATGCAGGTACAGACAGATTTCGATAAGTAAAACATTGGCAATTTCGATTTTCAAATCTAGACATGTGTAGTTTTAAATTTATGATAAATTTTTTAGTTAAAAGCAGGATCCAGTTGGGAAACAGAACCAAGTGCAAAAAATTTCAGAAATTTTACTTTAACAGCCAAAGGCTCCATTAGACAATGCTTTCCGATAATTCCCACTGAAAGTTAAGAAAAGGCGAGAAATTTACATGGAGGAAAACACTGATTGGATGACGTCCACAAATTGTGTTCTCATACTCCAACAAGTACTGTTTAAATGCATCTGGATCTCCTGTTTCTATTATATCCATGCCCATCCGATCCAAGGCCTCAATAGATTTGTGGATAGCTCCATGGTTTTTGTCATAATGTGTGTAGTTGAACCTAACACCAAAAGATTTACTTCATATGTAAGTCTGGATAATAAACAAAAATAAGCCAGTCACGAGCAACTGAGTAACACTCCAACCATTTTGGTTGGGGGTGTAAATCTGACAAGGGATAAAGTATCATAAACAAAATGAGTACGCTTATAAAAAAATAAAAAATAAAAAAAGACTGCTTTTGAGGGACATACCGAGAACCCCAGTGACAAAAATCTGAAGACACAGAAAAGAAATTATTCGGGTCATCCACATATTTGGCTAGCAGCCGTCCAAACATGGCTTCATTTTCGGCATTAAGAGCACCAACCAAAATGGGTACAATTTTCACTGAGTACCTGTTGCAGTGTTACCTAGAAATCAGCCACAACAAGATATAAATAGAGAACAGAAATATATGCTGAAACAGACCCTACCCATGAAATACTTTAGCAAGATATGGCAAGTGCATCTCCATGCTATGTTCAGCTTCATCAACATGAAGATCCATCAGTTCAAATTTCCCTGTAGCTTTTAGCTCCTCATTGACTGATACAAAACCAAGCATGGATGCAATGAGTTTCATGTCGAACAAACAGTGTTAACGTTAATGGAATATGTAAATAGAATAAGGCAAAAACCACTTTATTGCCAATTAACCCTCATGTGATTTTGGACTCAAGTCTTACCGTTACATTTTCCGTTAAAACCGACAAAATGTGTGGCATCCTGTTTTGAATGGGGAAGAAAAACTATTTACTCAATGTTGAGTTTTAATGTGAAAAGACAACATAGCCCTTATCTTCATCTTCTACCTAAGAAAACTCTAACCCACCACCCCCTCCTCCCCTCCCCAGTTTTTATTACTTTGCGTGCATAGCCAATTGTACCTTTTACTAGTCTCTTCCCGTGGGAGCAATTAATACATTTGGCAGTCAGGCTTCTCTTTTCCATTTGGTGTATTGTGGAGAGAGAGAGAGAGAGGGAGCATGTTTCACATAATGAAAAAATTTCAGAGGACTTAGACCAATGAGCTGTTTGTTCTACTTATTACTCAGGATTGAGAGTTTAATCAGCTCTACTACAGATTTATAGGAAGGAACCGTTGACTAAAGATGCAGTAACAGTTTGCAAATATTAAAAGATACTTAAATGAGATAGGAAGTTAACACTCATAATCAAATGCAAAAATGGCCTTTTGGGATCAAATGCACAAATTATCACTTTGTGCATTTGATTATCAATAATTAGATCACAGATGTAGGTCACCAACTGGTGTCTTGTAAAATATAAAATGACTGTACTGAAAGAAAAAGATAACAATACCTTCCAGATCAATAGTTAGGTCGCCAACTGGTGTCTTGTAAACAGTGGCTCTTGAAAGAGCACACTTCGGAGTGTAATAGTGATGAGATGGACCGAGAAGAAACACCCGAGAACTGGGAAGTGTAAATTTTTCCCATACATTAGAAACAGAGACAGGAGCAGGTAAATTTCAAGTAAACGAGGGGGAAAGAGAGGAAGGGAGGAGGAAGACAGCAAGTAAACTTTATTATTTCATTTATGAGCCCCAGCGGTTAACAACTTGAATATGATCGATCACCTCACAGGCTCGCACTATAAGAGCAAATGCTAAACAAAATGATGAGATCGTATATACAACTTTCTAAGATGAACGGAAGAGGAGAAGTATTAGCACAACTCACACGCTTGATGGGTCTATGTTTGCAAATGCGTAGGCTGCTGCACGGCCTGAATATGAATAACCTGCATGACTAGTGGGTTCAATGCCACCAAAAGAACAACAAATGCATTAGATCCATAATTGTTGATTAGAGAATAACAGTGAGTGGTCCATGACAACTTACGGTGCAATCACCCCTCGTACATCAGGAGATTTCACCAGGCCAGATGCTCTGAGCCATCCATCAAGCTCTTCTTCTAATTTTTTCGCTGACAAACAAAAAGAATAAAAACATTAGGTAAATCCTTTTTCCTTTCATGAAGTTTTTGATAAATTAGAAGAATTCTTTATATTTTCCATGGATCATTGCTCTCTAGTAAATTGTTTGGCAGATAAATGGTTAGCAGTGATTTTTGACTGTGAAATGTTTGACTAATCAAAACTTGCAATTATCTAAAGAATATTTGCCAATATTCAAATTAATAAAGTACGACAAAATTTGATCCTATATTGGACAAATTAGTATTACCTTAGAATTTATACCACATCCTATGTAATTTAGATCTTCTCCTCCCCTAACATTTCCATTTTCAGTGATCATATCACTCTTCCTAACCATTGCGTCTATAGGTCTTCATTGTATATGACCAAACAATCTTATCATTTTCTCTCCCGAATTATCTTTACTTGGTCTTCCATTTCCGTAGCCTTGACATCTCTTATAAAATTAGCACCGGCATCTCCATCTCTCCGCAGTATTTATATATATATATATATATAAACCCCCACCCACCTGTCCACATAGTAACCCAATAGTACCCTTCCCCTCAATCATCACCACACTGCCTAACTGTATCAGTAGAGCCACCTAATTCATAAGGTACATCCACTAAACCAAATTATGGGCCACTCTTATTCTCATCATTTGCTCTACACCAACACATACCAAGCAAGAGTCTCTCTCATCTTCTGTTACCATACCAATCCAACCTCCAAAGCTGCTCCACCCTTATCAAGCCGCTTTGTCCACAAAAGGCATAATGCAACTGCTTATAACTCAAAATTGGTCACATAATGCACGGTAGGACAACGCCTTGTACATTAAAAAAAATTATAAAATTTAACATTTTGGACTGTCAACCACCGCCAGGTTTTACAATTTTCTCATTCCTATACAGGGTTTTTATTCTCGCATTCCTCTATGCTTAAAGATATTTAGGAAAATTTTCAAGCTTTATGCTTGAATACACACAAAAAAGGAATCTCTATAGACTACCTTCCCCCAATAGTTTTCCTAGAAATCAATTTTCCCTCTAGACCAACAAAGCCTTACGATCGTGAAAATTCATCAAATTACAGAAAAATTCTCAGACGAATCACTCGAAACCTCACTCAATCAGTAAGGAAAACCAAAGAATCGAAAAGAATGTGACAGATAGTGATAGAAATCTCTGAAAAGACAAGTGATTAAAAGGTTAATCAACGAGTGGTTGTAAAGGTCAAAACTTTGATGACTTACGATTGTCGGTGTACCATGATCCTGCATGCGATGCTCTCCTGATTTTCTCCATATGCTTAGAAACCCTAACAATCAATTTCGATTTTTTTTTCTTTTAGGAATCGAGGATTGAAGTGCTCAATGTAGGTATATAGACATAGATATATAAAGAGAGACTACAGACAGACAGACAGACAGAGGCTATGGATTCCAGAGCCAAGTGTGCAAGCAAAAGCTATAAATAAAGTGAAAAAAAAGTGATCCAAACACCACCTCCTCTCTCTCTCTCTCTCTCTCTCTCTCCCTCCTTGGCAACAGTAGTTTTTTTTTACTTGCGGGGCAACTACATGCATTTTTTTGCACCCATTAGTGTAACTGTTAAAACATATTATAAATTATAACTTAACAGATTATAAATTATGATTTTAATTAGAAGTTGTTAATTTATTTGGTGTATCTGTTGGATTATAAATTTAAGTTGCTGAATAATGTTTGTTAAATAAGCTGTGAAATAGTTTTTTCAATTAATTTTTATTTTTTGTTTGTCTACATTTCTCATAAAAAATAATAATAATAATCCATAATCCATTTGAGTCTTTTTCTATTTTTAAAAAAAATAAAAAATAAAAAAATTTATGAGTATAACCATAAATTAACATGTCCACAGCAGAAACTGATAATCAGAAGCAATGGGTGAGTAGCTTCTCAGAATCAGCTTTTTTGAGTTAAAATAAGCTGTTAGAGTCAGAAGCTGTTTGAAAAAAGTTTAACCAAACAGTCCAAAGTAACTTTTTCAAAGCTAAAAGTCATAAGTTAGCTCTGAAAAGCTGAAACAAACACTCCCTATGTCTTGTAATTTTTTCTTCTTCTTTCACATGTAGTTCTTCTTCTTCTTCTTCTTCTTCTTTTTATTACTTGTATCCCATAGTCTTTTAATTGCATTCTATCACAAACACATTTACATCTCATGTGTTCTGTAATTTTTTTCTCTTCTCCCACTTACATGTAGTTATCTTCTTTTTTTTTTTATTGAGGAACCTATTGGTCTCATTTAGAAGTAGACTATTTTAGTAGATTAAAATATTTGTGTTTGGAAAGAATGTTGAATTTTTTTTATAATTGAATCTGATATTTGTGAGAAAAAATATTTGTATTTGGGAAAAGAGTCTGATGTTCTGTAATTTTATGAATTTGATGTGACATTTTATCTTAGGCCTCGTTTGGGAAGTTGGTTATTTTAGTAAGCTATTTTAGCTTTTGACTATTTTAGTAAGCTAAAATATTTATATTTGGGAAAAGTGTTGAATTTTTTTTATAGTTGGATGTGATATTTGTGAGAAAAAAAGTGAAATGATTGTAGATGTGACATTTTGTCTTATTAACTATTTTAGTTTATTTTCTCTTTTTAAATTTTAGTAAAAGAAAGCCAATTTTGATTAAAATAGTTAATAAGACAAAATATCGCATCAAATCCATAATGATTTCTCTTTTTCTCTCACAAACATCACATCGAACTACAAAAAAAATTTAATCCTATTCCCAAATACAAATATTTTAACCTATTAAAATAGCCCAAAACTAAAATAATTTATTAAAATAGCCAACTTCCCAAACAAGGCCTTTGTAACATAAAAAAATAATTTATAAACTTTATCATATATTTATAATTACTTTTTTAATTTACCAGTTAATTTTTATTTTTTCTTTTATTTATTGATTTTTATTTTTTATTTTAAAAAGTTATCATATATTCTTGATTTTTAAATTTATTGATCATAAAAGTTAAAAAATCAATGTAATCTAAAAAATTATTAAAATTTAAAATTTTGAAAAAATGAATTTTTAGTGAATTTTTAAAATTTGATCTATATCTTTTTTATAAAATTTAATGTCTAGAACTTAAATTTAAAAAATTGACAAAAATTTTAAATTTTTTAACAAAGATTAAAAAAATATTGTGATTACTAAAACAAAAAAAACATTTACCAACTCCCCGGCCTTGCTTGGACCAAATTTACTAGGTAGTTTGTTAGATGAAAATTTTTTGTGACACCAGTTTTTTAGATGAAAAAATATAGAACTCAACCTAATGAGTCTTTGAAGTCGATCACTATTTTGTTCTCCACAAATGTGAGATAGAAGAGTTAAAATCATAATATTCAATTACAGGCAAAAAAAAGTTCTAAGAGAGAACCAAATTGTGTTTGGTTTTAATTTTTTGTATTTAATTTTGAAAAAATTAGTCTAAGGTTCCTCTCATTTTTTAGTAATAGAAGAGATTCACAATATTATTTTTTGATATCTAAAGTTCTTAAACCCCATACCCATCTATCACAGAGAAATTTGATATATTTCATGCTCTCTATCTCTCTCTCCCGCTGCTCTTCTCTCTCACTCTCGTCGATCTCAAAGATGAGATCACTCCGTTATTGTTCTGATCATACAATTCAAAGGCATCCTTCAGCCCTGCCATACCGTCGTCATCTCCGACGGCTCCGGCGTTATCGTCGCCGCCCTTGTAGAAATTGGTGAACTCTTCAAGACTGATGAAGCCGTCAAGGTCAGTGTCGAGCTCCTCCATCATCCATTTCACTTCGTCCTCCGATGTGTTGGATTAGAGAGCTTTCATGACTAATACGAGCTCCGTCGTCGAGATCTTGCCGTCGCCGTTGGCGTCGAAGTGATTGAACACTTTCTTTACCTCCTCCTTGTCCTGCAAGTACACTGATGACTTTGGGACTGAGTTAAGGTTAGGATGGGAATGGATTGATATCGACGAAGGAATTGCACGCTGTGTTGAAGAGTTTGGAAGAGAAGTGCTCATGAAGAGATTGTTTGAAAATGATCAAGTCTGTTGAATTTCTCTGAGAAGTCCAGTCCAGAAAAATTTGGATTCCCAGAATTTCTTTAGAGTTGTGGTAGTATTATTTTCTCTTTTCTTTGAGCTGTTGTTGACTCAAGTGAGATCATGCGTGGCTAGTTTGCAGTTGTTGTATCTGCTTGTTGTCCAGCTTATTCTAAAAGGGTCAAATCAAGCCATTAATGGGTGGAGTTGATACTATTATTGCCTCATGCTACCTCCAGTTAATCATTTGTCTTGTTGTGCATTTGTGTTGATGCGATCAAAGTGTTATTGCTTCTATGGCTTTCATGGTGCTGCTACAGCTGCTTATTTGATGTAGAAAGAAGATGATGATGATGATGAAGGCTATCAAAGAATTTTTGTGGAGAAAGAATTTCTTTAGAGTGGTTTAAATTTTCTCTAGATCAGGTAAGAACAAAGTAGATAAATTTTGAATTTTTCTGGAGTGGTTTGAATTTTGTTTAAATCAGGTAAGAACAAAGCAAAGAAATTTTGAATTTCTCTGGCGTGCTTTGAATTTTCTCTGGATTAGGTAAGAACAAAGCAGATAAATTTTGAAGCCTTGTGAATGCACCCTACAATAAATTACAGATTTATAGTCCAAATTAATTCTCAACAATTCAAATTTATAATCTAGAGAAATTCTCAATAATAATGGAGCCTTGTGAACCAGAATTTCTCTGTGAAGTCCAGAGAAAATTCGATCAGAGAAATTCTTTGTGAACTAGAAATTCTCTGGATCGATGTTGAAGGACCTTGGACATTATGAAAACATTGAATGTCCTTTATGCGATAAAATCTTAATACTAGGGACCTTAAAAAAATCTCTAATTTTTTGAAAATTAAATTTTTTATTTTTTGTATTTTTTTTGTTATTAGTAAGTATTTTCAAAATTTTAAAGTGTCGTTTGGAAAGTGGGTTGGCTTTTTGACTTTTTGACTATTTTAGCCTGGGGCTAAAAAGCCTAATTTGGGAAGGGCTTTTGGCTTTTTTGGCAGAGAAAGAATGTAATGATTATGGGTTGGATGTGATGTTTTCTCTTATTGGGCTAAAAAGCCTATTTTATTTTTTGTGGCTATTTTAGCCAAAAAAAAGCCCTAAAAGCCTCTTCCCATACAGAGGCTAAGTATTTTTTTAGATACACCTTACTTAAATGTATTTAAAAAGTAAAATATTTTAAAAAATAAATAAATACACAAGAATACAAAAATTAACTGAATTCTCTTTTTTTGTTTTTTTGTAATTTTAGTATTTAATGAATTTTTTAAAAATATTTTTCACAAATATTGTACTTTTTAAATGTATTTATATTTGGTGTATCTAAAAATTAAAAAAAAATGATTAAAATATTTTAAAAAATTAGTGAAAAGAAAAATAAAAAATTTCAATTTTCAAAAAAATAATAAATCCTGAAACCAAAAAACTACTTTTTAATAGGGCATTGATTAAAGTTTAAATAATAATAATAATAATAATAATAATAATAATAAAGACAATACTTGGAAATTGTTTGGCTAGCACTGAAAAAAAAAAAAATTTTATCTTTTTTAAGTCACATCACCTCTTTATTTTGTTTTTATATTTTTTCATAAAAAGTCAAAAAATATATTAATCTAACATATCCCAACAAACCTTTGTTAGGGCAACTCAGAGCAAAGGAAGTAGGCCAACAGAGTAAAGTGGCATCACCATAATCAATCATATGAGAAATAGAAAAGATGTCACTCAAACCCTAAAATTGTCCCTAGTCAAGCAAGTGAAAAACGAAAAATTTCTCATCCAAAAAGCTATAAAGAACACAATGCATCTATTTCAATCTTAGGAAAAACACTTCAGACTAATCAAATTCTCCTGGGATGTCAAGATCCACAATGAATAGATTCAAGAAGGTATGATAAGAACGACAAATCAATTAAATAAGTAGACATAAGTTTCATGCCACTTCTGGAACCCAAAAAGAATTTTATGAATAAGCAAGCATGAAGCAACTAACAAATGAATAGTATAACAAATATTACCACTGCTTATTGGTTCAAATGACTTTACAAAACCAATCATTTACCCACTATCTCAAACTCTGAACAATCTGACAACAAAGAATAAGACTCCTGCTTCTTCATGTCGTCTTTGATAATAAATCCCCTAATGAAGGAGAATAAAATCCACAAATGAGGGGAAAGAATGCTACATGCGTCTTTGCAGCCCAATCAAAAAAATAACTCACTCCCATTCCAAAACCAACACTCAACAACAAACTCTGTATCTTTGCTTCCAAAAACAACTTCTTAATGGTGAAAATAACAATCCATGAAGAAAACCTGCAATATCAGGAAAAAGAATATGTTTCACTCAGTAACAGCATGGTATTTCAACACCAGCATAGAAAACAATGATACATACTCAACACCAGCATAGACAACAATGCAATATACGCCATATGGTGAGAATTGGAAACACTGCACAGGAGAAATTTCTCCGAAGAAACAAGAAATAAATATATAAATCAAATAATGAAAGAAAGTTTCACCAGCACAAACACCTTCAAATCATCTTTGAAATAGGCCAATGTTTTTACCAAAACCAGGTGAAGAAAAGATTCATCAAAAGATCACCTATGACAACAAAGTAAAATTCCCTTTTGGTTAAAATTCAAAAATGATCAGTAGATTCATCAAATGGTCACCTATGTCAAGTAAAGTCTCTGCTTAAGAAGTCAAACAGGAATAGGATCTGACAAATGGACATAGACCACTACAATTTAGGTATGAAGGGCCAAAAAAATCAAGAATTGTGACTATTAGAATAAGATTGTCAAATTGAAAGCTATGGCATTAAAGATTTTGAAGGAGATGGACAATATTCTACCAACTTCAGAGCATGAAGTATGAAAGTAGGTTTTATGGTTGGAGGATGAAAGGGTTCTACATTCCAAATTAGGCCCTTAACAACAATGCCGGAGGATACCTACAACCATGCATCCAGAACCCCATCTGTTCACGGTGGACAAAACATGACTAGTTTACATTACTCACAGTTGTTTTGTCCATTACTGTTCACATTGCGGATAAGATGTAACACCTAACTGAAAACAGCAAAGAGAAACTACTTTCTAGTAGTATGCTAGAACTTTGAAAAATTCAACTAGTATGTAGAAATAAACCTCATGTCAAGCAATCTTAAGAAAGACTATCTTAAACTCAATCCTAACCACAATGCAATGAATCCACTATCCATCTTTATTACTGGCCAAGTCATTTTGAGGATATTTATGTCTACCAGCATAACTTAACAGGAAGTAACAAACCAGCATTATGAATTACTTTGAGTCAAAGCCATACGTCCCATTCAAGCTTGCAATAATAAATGCTAATTTTTTTTTATAAGATTTAAAATGTTACGCGGTAAGATTGATATATTACACCAGTAACCTGTTAAATGTTAATTTCACCTAAATACTAAGTTTGACATCACCATAAATTTTAAGAAATGAGTAACATCAAATGTTTAGTTTTGGCTGCATAGTTGACTCCGTTAGAAGATCGTTAGGATTAAGGAAGAACATTAATTCAACAAGCAAAGTTACAGGCTTACCTATCACAGCTTGTAACCACATAATAGTCTGACAACTAAGTAACAATCCCGGTGCTTTCTTTCACTGGTCCTAGAAAATCTCCAATCATGAGCGAAAAAATTAAATATGCTCCAACATAGAATGAAGTTTTGGAACCCGCCGACGAAATAATGGCTCTAGCCGGAAAGATGGAACACCAGTCTGCCACCTTTTAGCATCATACATCTCATTCCATGCTTGCACTATTTCATCAATTTTGAATCCAAGACCTACAAAGTTAAAAAAAAAAAAAAAAAAGAACATTAGCAAATCTGACATACTCGCAATAAAATTTATTAAACAATTTGCATAAAGATTACTGTGCCAGTAGATTTTTTCTTTCCAAACCTTCCACTGCAGATTCATTGGAACAGTGGTTCTTTATCATCACAGCTATATCGGTTGGAGACGCTCCAGCAAGTTCAAACTTTTCAACAGCAACCTCCAGACATTCTTCCCATGTTGGCAAACCTAACTTAAATTCCACTATGGAACGCTCATAGAGCAAGGTACCCCATAAGAGGTATATTTGAGACCTCATGTTTGCAGCCTGCTCTGCAGCTTCATCAGCCGATACATCTTTAAATAGCCCATCCAACCCCATTTTCTGCAAGTCAATTTTGTGTTTCTCTGATTTGGAGAGCCCATTAAGACGTCGTTCCTCCATCTCCTCCCACATCTGCATGCCCCTCTCCATGCTATCCTCAGCTTTATTATAAAGCTCTAGGATCTCTGTAGCGGACCCTGTCTCTATGTCAACCTCACTACCAATTGCGTAGTACCACGATAGCTTTGCTTGTTCAAACTGCTGCTGCCCAAGGGCAAGAAGACCTTCATAAAAGTCTGGTTTGATTTTTAGAGCTTTATGGGTTTGATTTCGTAAATGGGTTTGATTTTACTAGTAAAATTTACTTTCGCCCTCTTTTTCCTTTCTCTTTCATTAGTTTCAAAGCCCGAATCCATTGATTGTGAATGTATTTGCATGTATGGCTGCTCATTGATTGTGTATGTATTCTCATGTGTTCTGATTGTTTGAATTGAAATTTGATTCTATGATTGCAATAGTAATTATTATTATAATTTTCTTTTTTATTTATTATCATTTTGGAGGGATTTTTAAATTAATTTTGTGAGGAATTTTGGAGGGATTTCAAACACACTAAAATGAGTTAGGGCTTAAACACGTCTCTCTCTTTCTCACTCTGTGACTCTCTCTGTCTTTGTTTTCTCTTTGACTAAAGTAATTTTGTTCTACAATGTCTCACCCACCAGGGCCTTCACCATCCCCATTTTCTA